ATAAAAGATCTTGTGACTATTTTTACCTGAAGGACCGAGTAAATTCAGGTAGTGTGTGGCTGGCAGTTGTCTCTTAGATCAGTCTTACATGATGATTAGAAATAAGAAAGTCACTTCACAATGTATATGAGATCAGAAGCCATGAGGCTTTATCCCATTTCTGCTGTTAGCTGTCTATAGAGCTCAGCCATTATTAAAGGCAGAGAGTTTGCTTTTTAAGATGAGCTGTCTCACACACAGTCTTTCATGGGTGACATTTTAATTAATAAAACTTTATTTAAATCGAATACATAAAAAGTGCCTATTCGCAATGTGTTAGGCACAAGTTTCCATACGGTGCCAATGTAAGATTTTGAGATCTGGGATTGATGGGGAAAGCATTACATTTTTAAAAGCTGTTTCCTAGATTAAACCTGCTTGGCCATCTCTATTTCCCTCTCTTTCCCTTCTCAACCTCACTCTTCCTCCTGTCTTTCCTTTCAAACACTGCTCTAGCCATTCTTCCAGACACACACACACACACACACACACACACACACACACACACCACAAAAAGATACACAGAAAGACAGAGGAAAAGACAGATACACACAGGGAGAGACATTTGAAAATAAAATAATTATTTTTTATTAAACAAAAAGTCTACAAAATCCACAAAAATACCACTGGGTTAGTTTTGTGTTGAGCACATTGCCTCCTGGACGCAGAGCCTGCCCTGCAGTGTGGTTAACACACCCAGCAACACTCCACCGGAGAATGCTAATTTTTCATCTGCAGGTGGGTATCAGTTTCAGAAAGCTTCTTGATTAGGGGTGGGAGCCTGTGTCTGCCTCCCCACTTAGAGCTAGGATCCCATCTGGCTTGAATCTGTGCATTCTTTTCCTGATAACTGTTTTCTGGAATTCCAGTTAAGGGATTACCCATATCCATGCAGTATTTCAAGAATTCTTCGTTGTAACCTGTGTAAATAATATATAATTTACAGAATCTAATGCCGTAGAAGGGAACTGGATACTGAATGCCTTAGATCTCAGGATTGCAGTATTCCAGATTAAATTTTACGCTCACCTAGCTATGTATTAACTGATGATCATTTATTCATTAATATGATGTTTTACTATTTCTGTCTAAAAGTCTTATTACCCATTTAATATTTCATAGATAATTGTAAGTAATACTATCATCAGTCTGACTTATACAATGTTTTCTTTAACTACATTATTCAGTTAATCTTGAAGCTTTAAATTTTCTCTGTACTACCAAGTAACAAATGTCTGAACATGTTGAATCAAGGTTGGGTTAGAGAATAGCTATGCATACCTGATCTATAAGGATGAGTAAGCAACTAAGTAAGAAATCTTGGGTAAGTCTGATTTCTCAGTATTTTAATGTAGCTTATAAGGGATAAAATGATCCCCCTTTTTCTAAAAACAAAATTTTCCCTTCAACTTTTCACACTAATTTCTGTAAATGTTTAAGTTGAAAATCTAATGCCTGTACAGTCAGTGGCAATTTAAATATATATTATATGTATATGGAAAAAGTTTAAAGATGCTTTTAATTTATTTAATGACTGTTGCGTTTCTATATTGGTAATGATTTTCTTCCTTACAAGGTGAGAAAACATCTTTTTTTTTTTTTTTAACTATAGTTCCTAGATGGGACATGCCATTTGGTTCTTTAGTCAAGTCCATGTCAAGGGTGTCTCCGTGTAACTGTGAAGGGAACTTCACTACTGATGTATTAAGCTTTGCTGAACTTGTATCATTCTCCTCCAGTAACGAAGGACTTTCATTCTATATTACAAAAATAAAAACAGCTTAATTGAACGTTTTCCCATACTATTCTCTTTCTGGGGGACGATCCTGCTTCAGAAACATTTCTCACTGGGCCACATTTGATACAAGGAAAGAAACGGAAACAAAGTTAAATCTTTCAGAAAAATGAAAGCTTTCAATGAAGAGAGTTTCCCCAACATCTAACCAACAAAACGGGATCTGCATCTTAGAGAAGGACAGAAGCTCACACAGGGGAAATTTCTTGAGCCTTTGCAAGTGGGAACCCTTATCGCGATTCATTTAATGTTTTCTTCCTTCATTAGACCACAAATTCTACATTTTGTGATAAAGAGATGTAGGTTCTTGATTTTCTCCCCCTAAATGTCTGGCTTCCTAGCTCAATGATAACTTTATTTCTGCAGCCAAGATTACCACATATTGTCCATGTTAGAATGTTAAGATCTAAATGTAATTAGTCTGATCTTTATGTAATTAGTCTGATCTTTGAGATGCTGTTTAAATTGCAAAATTCTCTTTATGGAAAAAAAGGCCTGAGGGTATGGAATAAAATACACTCTCCTGCCCTTCCCACCCTTCAGTCTGAGCCTCCTCTGCTGTAGTAGGGTGATAGCCAGGCTAGCTGAGACTAGAGGCATTAACTGATCATCTTGAGCAAGTCCCCTGTTCTCGCACAGCCTTGTCTATCTTACAAATAACTGAGGTACTAAACTCCGGCCTCTTTACCAGCCATACATGTGACAGAAGATTGCCGACAAGATTATGCAAAAAACTTGAAAAACTGAACATCAAAGGGGGAAAATCAAGCCCAATTTAAAATCAGGGCAAAGAATTCAACAGAGAGTTCTCAAAAGAGGAACTACAAATGGCTCAGAAATATTTTTTCAATATTATATTTAAGTTACACAATCAGATAAATACAAATTAAAACTACAGAATGGATAAGAATTTTTTAAAGGGGGGGGCAAAAAATATCAGTCTGGAGTTGGGGAAAAAGGAGCCCTAATTCTCTACTGGTGTGATTGCAAACTGGTGCAGTCACCATGAAAATCAGCGTGTAGGTTCCTCAGATGGCTAGAAATGGATATTCCACAGGATCTATCTATACCACTCCTGGGCATACACACAAGGGACTCCATATCCTACGTGAATACTTGCTTATCCATGTTCATTGCTGCTCTGTTCACAATAACCATAGTGGAAACAATCTAGATGCCAATCAGCTAATGAATAGAAAATGGAAACATGGTATATCTTCACAACAAAATATTATTCATCTGTTTAAAAAAAGTGAAATTTGAAGGCAAATGGATGGATCTGAAAACAGTCATCCTGAGTAAAGTAACTCCGATACAGAAAGACAAATGTCTTGTTTTCTTTCATATGTGGAAGAATCATTGGACAGGTGTGTTTTTATCTGAAAAACCCATAGATGTAAGAACACTAGCAAGGAAATATGGGAGGAAAGAGAGAATACATTGATAAAAAGGGAGAAGGTGTAATATTAGAACAGGGAAGAGCCAATGAGATGAGGAATGGGCGGAGGTCAGAGTAGAAGAGAGAATATGGAAAAGGGATCCTTTTTTTAAAAAAAAAAAAAAGTCATATGAAAGCGTACTATTTTAAAAGCATCCTAAATTATAAGTACACAATAAAAAGAGTTTAAATAGAGTTACACAGTAACAAGAGTATAATACCCCCACCAGAAACCACCGGCTAGCTAGCAAGTACAAAGCCGAGTCACAGAAATAGATGACCACTTTTGGCAACAAGGCCCCCTTGGGGACTGACAAATGTCCCTACATTACGTTGTCATTGCTCTTGGTTGCCCTCCAGGACTTGATGGTAAGACCCTATTGCTGAAGACACTGAACCCTTGAGTCACAGAGCATGGAGAAACCAAGCCGATGCTATCCTGGATGGTTTACCCTTAGTGACGAGCGATCCTACTGCTGGAAGCTGCTATGCGCTCATCTAGAGAAAAAAGTACTCATCAGTCCTACATGGGACATCTGTATCAACCCTTTCCCTCAGAGACCACCACAGAAGAGGAACCCGTGGTGCTGGATGACTACAGTGAAACTGGTTTCAGGACACACCAGGGCAACTGTGACATAAACTCACAGTAGTGATAGCAGTGAGCTCACCTGGGCGAGCTAGAGCCAGACCAAATCCCAGCGTGGACTGGTGGTGAAGTACGCATGAATTGGCATCCCTAGCTGGGGAGCTAGTGGCTCTTGACAGCTTCCGGAAGACACTGAGTCGGGGGTCTGTCAAAGCAGGAACTTGTTTAATGGTATCAAGCAGGGACTTATATAGGGCTGTGATGGGGTGGAGAAACCTGGGATGGGCAAAGGCAGAACAAGGAATAAGGGTCAATAATATTCTGTCACTCTAGAGGTGGCTGGGTGGAGGCGGGTCTAAGTTGAGTAGCCATAGACAGGTCTCCAAATTCTTGCTAGGCTCAGGAAGTTACTCTAGGCCTCATGTCAAATCAAGTTAGGCTCAGGAAATTACACTGGGCCTCACACCCCAGCCTCAATGAGTCCCAACAAGGTGGGTATGTGAGGAGGTGCAGGTGAATCTGTGAGGAAATGGTGGGAGGTGGAGAGTTACTGTCATCAAAATAAATTGTATGAAATTTTCAAGGAATTAATTAAGATGTTATTTTAAATTCTTGCCTCATGTGCTTTGAACCACTGAGTATTTGAAGAGGGTTACCATGATAGCCACTGGACACAAGAGATTGGGAGAGCAACTCATTCAGCAGTGGCGGAAAGGGAAGGATGCAAAAAAGTGGGCCAACTGGTTTAAGGCACAACCTAAAATTAGCTCTGATGTAGGCTTTAGATGCCAGGCACCTGGTGATCAACCAAAACAACTCACAGTAGACGAAACGGTGAGTGTGACCTGAAGGCTGCCTGTATCATGGCCATTCAATTCTAAGATTGAATAAAATTAAAGTTTCGGTTCTTCAGTTCAGCCGCATTCGAGTCCTTCCCAGCCTCATGTTACTAATAGCTTCCTTTATTGCTTTGCATAGGCATATCTCCATTACCAGTGA